ATTTAAAATCAAAATGCAGACACATTGTGTTTCTAAATGAAGTGACCCTTTGCTGGGAACCTTCCCCGAAATTACGGTCACAAGCAAAGATAAAAGAAAACCCACTAACCACCACTAATATGACAAGGCCTGCTGACTGTGGAATTAAACTCATGTGGCACAGACCAGAATAGATCAAAAATCACAAGAGACACTTCTTCCAAGGTGCCTTAGCCCCAAGCGAGCTATAAGAGCCTGTAGCTTTATTGTGGTAAAAATAGCTTTTCAGTCATACTATGCACTGCAACAACAAGTTGCACAGAAGGTTTCAGCTTTTAAGAAAGCTCATCTGTAGCTAGCGTTGGACCAGAGGCTGACTTGAAAAGGTGTCTGGTTAATTTCACCCCACCTGCCTGAAATCTGTGGCAGTGAATATTCAAAAAAAGCTAGGCTGCTCTTGCACTCTGCTGCTTTCTATTCTAATTCACTTCAATTTCTAGTGCTGCTGGTATTGATGATACAGCAAAAGCATATTGCCATATCCTTAAAAACTGTACAACACAAAACCTTATGAATGTCAGCTTTTTCATAAGAACTTTATTTCCTATGATGTACAACATCTGAACAGTGTGTGCGCGTGTTGCTTAACTCCCATTCCCTGCAGGCAGAGTGGCCATGCCAACGTGCCACGAACAATGGTTACTAATACCTTGCCATCCACATCCAACGTATGACTGTATTCAAATGAACAACAATAATATCAAATTTAAAACAATATAAGACTAATTACTGCAAATGTAAACCATAAAAAACAACTATATAAAGACATTCTGTGGATCAGGCTGATTTTTCTATCATGTAGGATTTAATTCTTGTTTCCTAATTTATTTTCAATTTTCTTTGTATAGCGCCAAATCAAAATATACATTTTCGGTCCAGACCTTTTCAGGCACTAGCCAAACGTTTCAAACTGAAACCATGATATCTGACTCTCCAGTTTCCTGGGAAATGAGATGAGGTAGGAACCTGTTAGCCAGTAAAGTAAACAGGGAAATGGGCTATTTTAACTAAAATGAAATAATTGTTTGATTACAGCCACTTAAAGACGTGTAACTGCAGTGAATGTCACATTGTGCCAAACGACACATACCCACTGTTTGGGTTCAGCTGCTGGATTTTGCTTGTGTGTATGTGTGCGTTCTGGACAGTGAACTATAAAACACTATACACACTATACAAAACACTGAGTAATGAGCAATGTGAAGTCATAAAGTACGCTGAATTATCCTTTAAATGTTTAATGAAACAATTCTCCTGACAGTGAAGCAGGTGATTAATTTGACTCACAGATGAACAAGGCTTTAGAGTTTGATGTGTGATTTTTCTTTGACTGAAAGAGTTTTACAAAAATCTACAGCAGGGCATGTGAAAAGTAAACCCTCTTTTATTACTGCTCTTTGACTCAAGCCCCCGTCTTTATAATAGTTCCCAACAATTAAGAAGAAAATGTGTTTCATGGTTGAATAGAGAATGACTCAGCATCAGGTCTGTTCCAGTAATGATGTGTAAATCTTAAGGGAATGCAGATTATGAAACTCACCGTGGCAGCTTTTATCTAGTCAGGCTTCTGTCTTCAAAGATGGTGACCTCAATCTTAACAGGATTCAGTCAAGTAAAAATATCTGCTCCAAGGTTGGGTTCATTTTACATTTAATGAAAGCCAACTGAAATTTGAATTCTCCTCACTTTTTACATTAGGAAAAACAAACTGTAATGATACTGCAGCAATTACTGGATACCTTCACATTTTTTTCCTGCGAGGATGAAACAGTTATTGGAAATAAATGTGGAAAAAGTAACTAGCCGTCCCTGTATTCCAAGTGTCCTTGGATAAGATATGGAACCCCAAATTTCCCCTGACGGCTGTGCCAGCTGTGTGAGACTGTGCTGCAAAGCTCTGAGTGGTCATCAAGACTAGATTAGACTACATTTTCCAAAAGCCCTGGACTTTATCAGCTCAACAGAAGAGACGAGTCCATGAGCAAGTTGAAGGGTCTCAGTCACTTCAGACATGTCCATAACAACACAAAGACAGTGAAGTGGAAATTGTACATGGACCAGAAAGTTAATAAAAGACTTGATAAGAGTCATGAACATGGCCGTGACCAGGTTAGGATGCAAAGTACTTACACTACTGGACTTGCAGCTTTTTCTTCAGAAGGTTATTTCTGTGCTCACAAAGTAATTGTAATTTAACTTTTTTTTTTAAAAAGGCTTCTTGGTTTCTTATGCAGACATCAGATCTCCATGCACTGTAATTTTAACATGAAGAGGGGGGGCTTGTAAGTGTTTAAAAAATTAAAAAATAAACCTTTCTACCCAGACCAATCATGAATGGTTTGGTTCATATGTTAAAACAGTTCAGGTGAGACAGTCCTGTCAATCTCCCAGTGTTCCTGAGCAAAACTCAGCTCGACGGTGCCGGACAAATAATCCATATCACTGTCAACCTTATAAAATTATGGGCAAAAGAGGTAACAAAGCTCAGCTGGGAACAATTTCACTCATATTTTGTTATCCCTAATCTCCCATTGGGGCTCAGTTGCAATTAATTGGGATGTTGAGTCACCCCACACACACGTTGGTTAGGCCAGGATGTTGGTGCACCCGCTGATTTTATGCAGATGCTATGGATTACATACTAACTTTTATCTGGTGTTTTTACAGGGTATCCCTACATAGCACTGGATTTCCTGTAAGCTCCCCCGACTGCTGCTTTCCATTTTCATCCAGCAGTTACAGGCAGAGACATGGTGGGGGCAGAAAGCCTGTAAATCACTACATCTATTAGGTCATTGTGAAAGCTCCTTGTTCTACTTAAAAATGTGGTGTGATTACGCTCACATTTCCTTGTCTCTGGGTATGACTAACGAGTAAACGTTGCTCAAAATACTCAATGTATCATTGCTCTTTTCTGTGCATGATCATTCTTACACAACTAGGTTGTTTTTTACTGTAAAAACACTTTGACCCTTCACTCTGATTGTAGGGTTGTGGGGTTTGGAAGTTTAAGCCTGACCATTGCTTTTGTTGTGTTGCTATGGAGAACAGAGTCTATTTATGGGGGTCATTATTTGTAGTTTATTGCTAAACAGTTACACAGGGCTCACTAGTGAAGGCTGAAGAATATTAACACCTGTGTGACAAGATAAGAAACTGTATTTTCTGGCTACTACAGACACTGAAGTGTAGGATACAACTCGCAGGCCTCTCTCGATGGGGTCAGTGAGCAGGAGGCCTCGTGGTGCATAGATCTTGTCATTCTGCTCCTGAATGTACTTTGCAATCTTCTTCAAAACCTAAAAAGGCAAAGCAATCACATTTTCAGATATCATTTCACATTGACAGTTATAATGGAGAATGGTTATTAACGAATAGCTACAAATACATCGGTGATAATCAATTATCAGCCTGACTGATACATTAGTCACGTTCTACTCAAAATCTACTGTGTAATACTTCAACGAGCTGATGTTCTCTGAACAGGCCATCACTGAATATCTGTAGTGAGATCTGCCATTATGACCAGTGCTAAAGCTCCCGAGGGCTGCATGAGTTCAGCTATGTGATCATTTCTATGCAGACATACTAAATTAATATATTCTAAACCCTAACTCAGACAACCCTGTGCTGCTCAAAAATGGAGTGAACAAGGTGGTTGAGTTGGTTGAGAACACAGAGGAGATTGTATTTGCTTCACCATCTGACTCTCATAAAAATTCCTAACAATATCCACATTGAAAAGAAATCAAGCAGGTTTTTGGGTGTAATAATGATAAATCATCTGTTATTCCACCCACTTTTGTCTGCAAAAAGACGAAGCACAGAATTTATTTTCTCTACAGCTTTAGGTGGTTTGGGAGAGTAGACAAATTCTTCTTTGTGTTTTATTTCTGTGGCCGACGGTGTTGTAATATGCAATAAATGTTTTCTTTAAAGTCAAACCTAGTGCACCTAATAAAAATCCGCTCAAAGATTATAAGCCAACCTCTTATTGATCAGTCCGTCACCAGAATATACTAAGGTTGGCCGGCATCACTGTCTCTGACCCCAATTATGTCCTGAACAGTGAGTACAAAATGATTTGATGTTGAAACTGGAGCTCTTGCTTTCCTGCAGAAGAAAGTGTTGCTACCAGGAATCAAACAAGCAAATCTCTGTCTGGCTAAGTAGGAAACATGAGGATCCAGCTAGCTAAACCCTTCACATTCTTCAGCTGCAGCACTGAATAACAGACAATAATAATACAAACGTTACTCTGGTAATGACCAATTAATTTAAATCGCATGAAGCCCAAACATAGCCAAAGGTTTTTTTTTATTTTTTTATCCCTGTTCATTTCTGCTTACTAAAAGATGAATTCATATGACAGGAGAACACCACTGACATACAGATGCATTTACATTCCTTATGAACTGGGCCAAAAGGTATTTTAGATGACTGTAAATCTTATTCATTTGCTTGTTTTAACAGAGGTAATAACATTTTGATTTAGAGCCAAGCTGAAGGATTCCACGCAGCAGCAATGCAGCTTCTTACAGTACACCCCCACTTAAATCATCTATGTCATTTATACACAGCGTTAGTAATGAGTCTACATGAACAAGCCAAAACAACACAGAGCATCTTCACTCAATGGTGGTATCTTTTGAAATGTTTAAATAATTACACATTATACGTTTTTAGATAACAATGATTAAAAATATAAGCCAATTTAATTCACTTAAAGGTAAAATATGTAACATTTTCAAAACACTTTTGGCCGATAACTGAACTGCAGTCAGCGTCCTGTTGCTCAACCTCACATCCTCGGAAATTGTTGCATTACAAAAACATGTTCAGTAATTCTTATCTAAATCGGGGTTATTTTAGATCTTATTATGTTTCCATAACTATGAAAGTTTCACAAAATATGTGTTTATTAGTTTTGCTCAACAATTTGTATGCAAAAGAAGAGTGCTCTCATTCTGAGTAATTTTCATTGTTTTGTTCTTTACTTCTGAGATCAAACGTTTCTGATTATTTATTGATACTCTTCAGAGTTATTTTCTGAAATTAAACCTGCAAATCAGAACATGATTCATGTCTGAATATACTGATTTAATATATTCATATGTTCGTACGTTTTCTTCAAACACTGTATTTGCAGTACAACTAACTACACTTCGTGCCTTGCAGTTGAAAGTCTTGACCAACCAATCAAGTTTCAGAGAATGTGTTATGTTTGCAGAACATTATGATGTCGCAGTAAAGTTGAGAATGGCCAGAAATGTGTGAATGTGTGTGAATACTTAACACAAAGCATTGTGTTAAGTAGTGTGCAACCGATGGTCACTAACCAAGTAATATATACCATCATGCATTGTGCTCCTGTAAAGTGTAAAATAAATACTTTGAATTTCTAAAGGGATATTCTATGGGGCGATGTTGTTATTGTACATCATAATCCTGCAACAAAAACGTAATCACTATATAGTGTTCTACATAGAGGTCCCTATAATTAAGTCCCACTAATTTCGGACACAACCATAGACTCAGGCACAACAGCAAAGGTGACAGCAAAAATTCTGCTTCCCTCAGCTGATTACTTCTGCATGCATCTACCGTGGAAAATGTCTCACCTTCTCATAGTGGGTCTCCATACACAGGAAGACAGTATACGCTGTGAGGCAGGCCAGACAGCCTTCAATATATGACTGGCTTCCCAGCCTCTCAGCTTCAGCATACAGGTTATTGAGCGTCCGCACAGTCTCCTCAAACTGTTGCTTGTCAATCTGAAATACATGGAAACATTAAGGAAGAACAAAGGGTTAAAAACATTAGACAAGACTCAGAGCCAGGTGTACTGTATATTTGGACAGTAGTGTTTAAGTGCCTCTGTCCGGATATTCAAATGGAAACACTGTCTTCTTAGCACCAGATCATTTTCTCCAATGCTTTCCATCTCTAGATAAATTAGGGGCTGAATTTTCTTGGACTGGTCGTATATCAAGGGAATTCTGGGCTTCATTCCCGCACTGGAAAGACCTAAAATTATTAGGATGCCTTGGCCATATGACCTGTGAATGTTTTCACTTAACAACTGACACGAGAGACGCACAGAAAGCAGGACGCACACTGTGAATCCAGGAAGGAATATTAATGATTTCTCCTTCTCCAGTGGCCAGACGCACCTTGACCAAGATAAAGACACGTCTCTGCTGTTCGGTGGACCGCAGACAGCTTTTGGGATACAATCTGGGAACCACGGCTGGCTGATAATCAAACCAGCGTTTCTCAAGAATTCCTCAAATGAAAGCTTGCTGCAAGGATGAGTGATAGAGGGCGGATGACATTTGGACTCAGAGTCTGTCTCGACTGGGGTCTTGACACTAGTCCCATGCTGGCCCAGGGTGGATCCGGTGATCTCTCTGTGATTCTAAGCAAAAAAATGAAGGAGCCTCTAGACCAGACGAGGAGCAAGCCAGGGGCCTCCTGAGCCTCTGAAAAGCCTCCAATGTTCTGCTTCTTTGTGCCCAAGGAATGCAACAAGTTCCAACACATCAGTGTTCTTACGCATGTTTGGTACCCACCATTGAAGGCCTTTGTTCTCCCTCTAATTTTCCAATTCACAGGCTACAATTCAAACCACATTTCTCGACTTGAGCATCTTTCCATTACATGTGATGGAGTCATATTAGGATTCAAAACATGTTAGATGAGCATAAAGTTGAACAAATTCAAGTGAGGAAGGACGAGAGAGAAGGACTGTCACTAAATATAATGAGAACTTTAATATTAGCATTTGACACAGGTCAGAGAACACTGTCGGTTCACAATTAACAAGACACTTGTGAATGGTCTGGCATGTTAGCAGCCAAAAACATTTAGAAAACTCGTTGCTTTCCCAGTTCTCTGCTGAAGTTTTCCAAAAGTATTAAAACTGGAAAGAGCTACAAAAAAAAAAAAGAATGTTGTCCACAGCCTCAGAAGAACGTTATATAACAGAATGCAAACCTCTGCAAACCAGGTCCAAATATATGGCAAAATCAGACATAAGGATAAAAATGTTGGCTGAAAAAAATGAGGCTTTGTCATTATTGTGTTCTGCATATATTCTCACAGAGTGCCAGATATGACCGAACTAAAAAAGCAACTAGCTTGGCAAAACACTGCCTATTAACTGGGATCTCAGCAAATCATTAAAAAAATATATATGTGAGAAGAACATTTTATGGGAGGGAACAAAAGCTTTTACCTCACAGAGGAAAAGCATTCTTCATTTGTCTAGTTGTTATGTGTGCATGTGTATGCATATTTAAGTGTGTGTGTGTGTGTGTGTGTGTGTGTGT